CACCGCCGCTCTCCGACTCGGTTCTCGCACACCTCCGTCGGCGGGGCGGGTTTGCTTCTGCCGAATACCTCGTGCCGCGGCCGAGAACCCTACTCTGCGTTCTTCTGCTCTCGGCTACGTACAACGTAGCGTGGTGAACGCACACAAGACGCGAGGCGCAAGTCCCGAGCTCCCCGCCGACCGCGTCCTATCGTGCAGCTGGCTGCTGCCCCTCGTCGAGCGACTCTTCTACGCTGCGCAGAACGCTGCCTGACGTGTTGCGAGAAGCGGGTATCGCAGAAGATACGTACCGCAGCATCAGAGTCAACCTTGACATCAGTGCACGACGGTCGATAGCAGTCGTGAAAACGCGCGGAGAAGGCGACGAGGGCGGGTTCTTTTTCTCAGACGTGCGTTCCGAGCAGTGCGGTCTTGAGCCTGTGCCGTGGGCCGTCAACGCGATAGAGTTGGACCTCTTTTGGATGCACGCCTCGTCTTCGCGGGGCTAACGAGTTGAGTAACAACAGAGGCTGATCAATCGGCATGCTTGCGGCTTGCCACTTGTCGCGGCAACATTCCGTCACTCTTCCCGCTCGTCTGGTGGGTACGTACATCGTGCTGCTCCCTGACTTAGCTGAAGGATATGACGGAACATGATCGTAACAGCTCGTCGTACGTTCCGCGGTAGGCCGGCGGTAGAAGCGGGGACAGGCGCTGGTGCCACAACGCGAACTCGACTCAGTAATACGGTCGTCGCCTATCGATACGACGCCCACAACCAGCGATCCCTTCCGACCTCCAAGAACCACTGTCTTCTCGCCGAGTTGACCGTCAAGAGCACGCCGAGGGCCGTCTTGAGCTATATTTTCCCCTTCCGATGGCTCCGTGTCGTCTGGCGTCTAGACGCTTTTCCGAAGCTCGCCGTCCCGTCCTTATCAAGTAAAGCCTACGCTATAACTCTTTCTACACACTCGTTAGGACGATCGATGCAATACCATGAGCGAGCCTATACTACCGAATGTTAGCGTAGAACCTTGCAATCATGGATTCGATCGATACTATAGTCAATCTCGATTTCGCTTTGGGCTTTTCTTCCTGCCTATCCGAACTTGTTCAGAGAAAGCGAGCTAGGATTAGTCTCCCGGTCAGTGCTTTCCGATGTATACATGTCCACTTGGTGGTGTACGTATAGGATAAGTCAGATGAGACAGCTGCAGAATTTTCTATACAAATCCGTGCAAGTCCCGGTGTGCGACCTCGAGGCAAACGGCTTGATTGATCATCACCTAGTGCAGAGCAGCACATTTGAGCTTGCTATGAGGCATTCTCTCGGCGTTGCGGGTCGTGCTGAAGAGATGCGCCTGAACCCGGTGAGTTATGATTAGCCTGACCACTGGCACCGGTCACCAGTGGTGACTCGGCGTATCAACTCCTCTGTACGGCCTCTCATGGCTCTGTCTCGTACAGTGCTTCATCCGGCTATTAATGTACCAATGATACTTCGATGTATACATTGATTACTCCAGTGCCGCCTTGAACACCGGACTGCAGGCTTCAGACGCCAGTTTGCCTGAGGACCTCTTCGGCATTCCGTCAGTATTCCGTACTGCTGTTGCCTGGCTTGGGTCCGCAAAGCAAGGTGTTAGCCCCCCAGGTCGTCAATCATAAGTGTCTGATTCAGCCGACCAACTCGCTGTCTTTCACGAGAAAGCTTCAGATAGCTACCCCCGGTCAATGGCATGGTATACGTACACAGCCCGCGAAGACGCGTCACCTGCTCGTCATAGTTGCTTCATCCTAGAAGTCCTTCATTCTCGTCGGCCCTCTGACCGGCAGTCTTGTCTCCGAGCCATCTCCAAACCTCAAGATCTCAAGCTGAGCTGAGCTCGACTGCGCCTAGATGAGCACAGGATCCGATACGCTCTCAGCGTTGGCGCGTCCGGATCAAGGCGACGAACCGATAGTCATTATATGACTGGTTTCTTCATGTGCCGTACGCAAGTCGATATTGTTTTGGAAAGAGTTCTGCCAGTTGGAGTCGAGGCTATACAATGCCGAAGAAAAAGTCATTCTTGTGCAGGGCCGTCGCTGAGCGGCAAACCACGTGCAAGTCACTTAGCAGTATTGTCAGTGGAATAGATCAACGGAGGTATCAAGGCAATGGAAGTCACATCGTCGTAGGAGACCTAGTCATGCTATTCGGACTAAACCCGTCTTTCTCATGGCATAGCAAGAGTAAGCGGATATTGTAGGGCTGGTCTGATGACATGGGGTCTGTGTATTCACTCAGAAGTGCGCCACGGTACCCGTAGGACGACGCGACTTCATATGCCGACGGGTGCTTGTGATTGCTATTCCCGACACCGCCGGGCCATCACCGTCTTCGTCACATATTACTAACATCAGCTCACAAACTCGTCGTGAAGGAGGGATGGAGGCACTCACAGACTTGAACTTAGACTACCAATGCAGCGTTCTCCCTACCCGCGCGTTGTCCCAAGCCTTCAAGAGTGAGTGTTGGGCGCATCATCTGCCGCGGCACGATCCCGCCATACCAACGCAGCTCCGTTACCAGAAGGGTTTAGATAGATCTAAGATGCACAGCATCTTGACAGCTCCCAGGATGACTAGACTGAGATGCGGCTTCTGACACGTATTCACTATCGATCAGTTGATTGAACTGACTTCTGGACGGAAGAACGTTTGACAACGTATTGCGCGCATCTCCGTGCGGATCTAACAACTAGGAACCTCCCATCACAGCCAGCGCCCCACTGCTCGCCTATGTCTAGTATATACGCACCATAGACAGGCCACGGGTATTCTGGAAATCACTGAAGGGTTGCGCGTTGCCGAACTTGCCGAGTTGCTGTCAGATCAGGGCATATGCGGGCAAAGGTCTCCCTCAATATGTCATGTACAGGTCAACTTGCGGAATCTTTGGCATACCTATTTCACGCCAGTCTACTTGACTGTAGTCCGCTGAAGTATCTTCAAGGCACGATTGTAATAGCCATGGGAACTACCTGCACGTCAAGCCTGTCAGCACACGCAGGCGGCAAGGGCCCCTCATGCAAACCTTTACCGGCATAGGCTACGAGGCGACGACGCTTCTCCCGTTCTCTCCCCATTCGTTTTCTCGACTTCAGGCGCCTAGTTTTACCATCCCATGCTTGAGAGAAGGCCTTAAGTTCGGATCTGTTGCTGAGTGGGCGCCTCATATGGCTATCCATGTGGATTGGAAACGTACGAAGCGCCACTAGCGGAGAGTCAATCATCGTGGGTCCTCCTTGGAGTCAGATATGGACGTACGGATGAGCACTGGCTTCGAAGCTCAGCCCTTCGAAGACCATGCGTATTCTATGATGGCGCGCCCGACAAACCTTCACGCGCATGTATCTGTATCCGTCGCGCGTCCTGGTGCGCGCTCCATGAGCTATCGACGAGCACAAGAGCAAATGCGGATAACCTCAGATGATGCGAAGGTGCCGTGTGTATGACCCGTATGCGATCAAAAGTTTTCGAAGGAATACCGCCTGGTAGCCAGCAACGTTAGGGGTCACCTATGCGTCAATGAGCAACAGAATTGCAGACGCGTATGGGCAAAACTCACCTCATACGTGGCGGATACGCAAGTCTCGAAGTGATTTGTAGTCGCCTTGTGTCCTCGTCAAACATTCGATGATGAGATACTCGGCCGGCAGCGGTGGAGAGGAATCCATTTCTAGAGAGCTTGTATCAAGCGCCGACGCCGGACCTCACTGCGCGCCGGGGAGGTACAAAGTTGGAGCGACGGGTGCACTTGTGTAGTGAGCACAGTTCTCCTATCGGTACAAAGTTAGCATTCCCAGACGGCTTATCCTCATACCTCACCTCGATACTTCGTCCGGTCTCGTCCAAAGCAACCCAGATGGGGTACATCCCCTTGACGCCTAGTGCGTTTTCTGCATGTCGTCAGCGACCGTGGCGTTCGTTACACGCGCACACCGCCCCTTCGCAGGTAGAGTTGTCATTGAACCTGGGTCAATCAAGCGTGGCAGAAGCACAAGGTTGTTCGGGCGGGTCTACAGCGATGTAGGCTTCTCTGTCTCGTCACACCTTCATATTCACCGTCAGTTTCTAACGTACGGCCACCCATCGCCTGGAACAAGTACTCACGATCCACAAGCAAGTACTCACAGGCGGATACCTCTTGATGATACCTGTCCGTCGTTAACAGTGCTTAACACCGGCATCGGTGCCATGATACCACGATTTACACGCGCAAAGTTCGCCATGAGAACATCGCTTAGCCATACGCCGCGATATGGGGGCCACATGCGTCCGCGTTCAACCACTGACTGAACTATGGCGAGTCTGCCGACGCCGCCAAGGATTATGCTTGAAGCAAGAAGTAAGGAGCCTGTCAGATCTTGAGGGCGCCGAAAACACGAGACCGGATAGCCAATCAGTTGTTGCAACACCGGCACTGAAGAAGTGCGCCGTCACAGCGAAATGACCGGATAATAGCCATTGCCTGTCAAAGGAACTTGTCAATACGTTACTTCGCGATATGAACGAACGGAATGCCTACCCAGATATAGCCCGGCCTCATGGCCATAGAGCACTAGATCAGTAAAGATATGGGCTCACGGCTCGCGCGATACGCTATTCCAAATGGTGTGTGGGGATCGATCACGAAGGGATGATACAGAGGTTGCATGCTACAAAATAGTGCTCTAGGTGTACATTGCCAATGGAATCGCACCAGGCCATCTCTGATAATACACAACTGCACAGATCGCGACGACTGGTGTCTAGGAATCCACCTCGAGCACAGTTCCCCGCTGTACACTTCCCCAACCTATATGCATGTTCAGTCACAAGACATCTTATGATGACAGCGGGGGCCACGTACCGACGAGTCGCCAGTGCTTCTCGATACGTCGACTCAGAGCAACCTTCTCGCCAACCTCTGTGCATGCAGGACTCGTGAGCTGGATCTTCGCAAGATCTGCCTTCACGGATAGTACACGTCCACCGGTGCTCGTCGAGCCAATGTTGATGAGTAGAAGTTCGTTCTTCGCGAGCTTGGCGACCTTCGTCTGCTTCTTGTCCTCCGTTTTGACACCAAGCAAGCGACGGAGCAGGAATAGGGAAATCTCGAGTTCTAGTATACGGATGCGTGAGTGGGAAGAATAGATTCTTGAATGACAGATGACGTACCGGTGTACACCTGGGGAAGCTTCCCGACCGCGCCCAGAACCTGACCGACAAGTCGATCCGCACGGCATAGTGTTGGGTCGATCTTTGTGCCGACACCGATAAGGCCACCGGGTACAGCGAACTGCAACTGGTTGTTCTCGGCGAGAAGAGTGACTATGCGGGAGAAGATAGGCTTGCAACGGTTCTTTCCGGCCGCGTCCTTCGTGACGATACCAGGCCGGATCTCGACCTGCATGCCCAGCTGCAATACACCCGTCAAGATTGAACCACCGGCGACACCACCCTTCAATTCGTCGACCTCCGCACCCGGCTTATTGACGTCGAATGATCGGATGACGATCAGTCGTGGGTCGCTGGTGAAGTCACGGACGGGGATTGGAATGCGCTTGACAATGTACTCATTTACGGCGTCAATGTTGAACTTGAGCTGGGCAGAGATTGGCACAATCGGCGATGATTCGGCAACAGTACCTAGAGATGTGATGTAAGTAATCAATACGAAGGCGAAGTCTTCATAAGACTGACCCTTCACAAACGCAGCGATGCTCTTTTGGTGCTCGAGTGCTTGCTGCTCCTTGATCAAGTCAACCTTGTTTTGGAGGATGATGAGGTGCTCGAGTTTCATGATCTCAACGGCAGCTAAATGCTCCGAAGTCTGCGGCTGAGGGCACGTCTCGTTTGCAGCGACGAGTAGTAACGCAGCGTCCATGACGGCGGCACCGTTTAACATGGTAGCCATGAGAATGTCGTGTCCGGGGCAGTCAACGAAAGAGACATGGCGAACAAGCTTCATCCTGCTATTGCATCCCGGCCGTTCGCAGGGCGGGTGGTCCTCCTTGTCGGAGCGATAGGAGCGGTAGCATCCAGGTCGAGGGCAAGCCTCGTTTTCGCACTTGTAGATCTGGAATCGATACGTATGAGCATTCTGTATACATGAGAATTGAGGAGGCCCCGCGTATCCCGGTTATAAAAGTAGAAACTGCTCTTCCTCTTTGAGCAGACAACATGCCAATGCGGCGTTGACACTGAACTTCGGCGCTTCCGAGTTGATGGCATGTTCAAATGAGGGATCTCACCTTCGCGTTCGCGTATCCAAGCTTGATGGTGATATTCCGCACCAATTCGTTCTTGAATCGCACGGTTTGCACACCGGAGATCGCCTTCACCACCGTCGACTTTCCGTGGGCGACATGTCCGATCGTTCCTGCGCAGGATGAGAAAATCCCCCTCCATCCTTCACTGAATCCGACGCACCCAAGTTGATCGTAGCCTACAGCATCGTGAGTGTAGCTACATGGTAGACGTTTTGAGTATAACGGACCTGTTTTGAGATTACTTCAGGCGATAGCGGCGTGAGTTTTGTCACATCGATATTCAGCTTCGGCACTTCATCTTCGCCCTCCTCGCCCTCAGAATCAGATTCAGCATCGCGCTTTTGAACTGTCTCGTCTCCTGCCATTATATCGGAGCAGAGAAGGGGGACCGGAGGGGATTAGATGAGAGGAAGATGAAAGCGCGCTGCAGACCGCGACGCGCGCGCGAGTCATCAGTGACATGTTCCGTGACTTCACGCCGATTTTGGGTCTTGCCCTTGACCACGATCATACACCCTCGAGCCTCAGAAGTCTACGGATAATACCATCTTCAATGACCTTGACATGATGGCATAGTTGCTTGGCAAGAAATCATCTTGTATGCACACATGGGCACCATCATGTCATGAAACACCGGCTAGAGGTAGTGATGCCGCGGCTCGGCTGCTGCTCGAAACCGGGCCGAACCCCTCGTTCCGATGAAGAATGATCCGGCCTGCGC